GGAGAGTACACAGAAATAAGAAAAAGAAAAATGATAACGTAACCTTTTAAAAATTTACAAAAAGAGCTCACATCATTATTTTAAGAAATATGTTACTCGTATATAATGCGATGTCTATAATGATATGCTTATGAACAGAATTCATTTCGAATAAATTATTCGAAATGGATCCCCCTTCATTTAAAGGGTGAACACAGTTATAAATACCTCGATATACGTGTAGCATCATCCTTATTTTAATATTGTAAGATAGATGGAAACTAACAAGGTAAATGTTAAAAGGGTAGTGTAACACTTTCTATGTACATAATTGTTAGGTTTTATGTAATTGGTAATTTTGTGAACAAAATGACTGAAATAAATATGTCATAAAAACTCGAGGAGTTAGGTGGAATATTGTATAGTTGAGTTAGGTAAGTTAGGGTTCGAGTTCAAAATAAGAAAAGAAGAGATGCCACAATTTCGCTAGTCTATCATCTGGACAATGCTTGAACGACAAAAACAGAAACCTTATCGCTTGCCTGTCACCCGTCTTTCGCTTGAGCGACATACCATCGCTCTCCTGTCGCTAGCTCCTCGCTCGAACAATAGTGGTACGTGAAAAAACCTAATTCGCATTTTTGTAGAGTTTTACACAGTCCATACTATCTAAACCCTCCAACTATAAATACCCAAACCTTGCACAATTTTGGGTGTGATTTTTCATGGTGCATCTCATTGATAATACATTCATATCATCTCAAGAAGATCCAAGAACATATTCAACCCTTGATTCGATCCATTCTTTCTTGAGATCATACAACCACCTATTTGGAAAAAACATCAAGGTTCCAGAACCCAAAACACCCACTTTCTTTGTACAACAAGGAACGTACTTTTCTCAATTGGAACTTCAGAGACTACTAAAGATTGAGGAAGGTTGGATTACAAGCACAGGAAAAGAACAAGAATTGATGATTTTTGGGTATCCACTTGGAATAGACAATTGTAGAAGATCGGGAAGTTGGTGAAGTCAACAGATCTTGGAGATTAGAGAAAGTAGATCGGAAAGTCTAGAGGAGTTGACTAGGTAACATCTAATTGTAATGTTAATTGTTTATAGTGAAGGTAATTGGCTTGATTACGGAGTTTTTACTCAGATGGATTTCTTCATTAACAATCATTGTGTTCTTTACTGCTTTCGTATTACAAACTGCGGTATTCAAATATAGGAAAATTGATTTGTATGCCTAATCATCTAGAAACTATTAAAAAGTTACTTGTTGCTTTAAATAGAATAATTCCGCACATAAAATCAAACAAAATCGACTAAGTAAGACTTTCAATAATCGTTGACACGCCCTAACATGGAGGATGGCCCGCACATAATTTATCATGCGTGGCCCTCTCCAAGTGGAGGGGTATCATCTATTATGTACACCTAAAATGTAAAAGTAGTATTATTCATGTTAAAATTACAAGTGAATTTCACATAAGTGTGTGTTTGGAAAAGCTTATCAACCTTTTAACCGTATATTTCATCATTTTTTGCCAAGATCTGTCAAATTTTGATCAAAAGCTATGTTAAGAGAGCATCATCAAATTCATTCAATACTTTCTTAAATTTATATAATTATCACCTGTGAATTTTAATTTATGTAATATAACACCGTTAAATAGTTTGAGGGGTCAATCTCAAAATCTCACAGTCGAAGGTTGAGGAGCATTTCTATCAGAAAAATTGGGGAGACCGTTTTACTTTTTCCTCAAATTACTTATTTTTGAAAAGAAATTTATTAATTAAGAAAAGTAATATTAACAATTATACTTGATAAAATAAGCAATGCAGTCAAGAAAGCAAGAAAAATATATAAATCACCCTTTAAATTTTATAAAATTATATGTTATCAAATAATTAGTAGCAAAAGCTCTTGTACATGCACCGCTGTAATTACATCTTGGTAGTGGTTCTTAACAAAAACATACTACAGATGACTAGACGACTTGCCAAGTAAATTCTTGACATCGAGATGTGGATTGATTGCCTTTGAAGGCAAGTGTGTCGAGCTTGGCACTGTGGCCTCCAACCAGCCCAAGCATGAACAAGTACAACTTGATAATTCTCCTTGTAGGCGCAGTGTACATACAGCTCTTGTTCTCTAACTTGTTGGGGCACATCCCTCGATTTACTTTCCTCACAAAGTTCTAGGGACGGGACGGTGGGGGCCCTTAAGGTTGGAGTTCAACATTTTTAAGTACAACTTGATAATTGAACTTAATAGGACTAAAGTTTAGTGAAACACATTTACATGTTCAAATTATGTTATAAGTGTATTAACGCTGAATTATTATATTGTAAACATGATTAGACTATAAAATGTGTCGATACAAAAAATAGCGTAATGTACCATATTCGCACATGACACGTGTGCCATTTACATTTATGTATAAACCATGTAAACGTACAAACAAAAAATCTAATGCAAGAGTGCATAGCGTTACAAAGGAAAATAAAGAGTGGCTTTGAAGAATCGTAATTAACAAAATATTATCGTAAATTACTATTTTTTGGATCTGTGGCAAAAGACAAGGTGGTCGGCGGCACATGGACTGTTGTAACTGGTTAACAAATGGAATGGTCCACGCTGATACAAAATAAAATAATTGCTTCTTTAATGTTGATACTTAAAAAAATAATAATAATAATAATAATAATAATTGCTTCTTTAATGTTGATACTTAAAAAAAATAAAAATAAATAAAACGATGGGTAGTTTGACACTGTTTTATCTGCATATAACTCAAAACGTGGTTTATGTGAAAAATAATAATAATAATAAATTATATTGTTAATTTTCTACTCATCATATTTCTTTTCATCTTTTAGAAATCTAATACGATTTGAAGAACTTCTAAAAAAAATCAACTTGTCCTAGTCGAGCTTCGAAATTTGTCAAGCAAGATATTTTAAATTAACAACGTTGGTCTATTATGATATACCAATCCATGAACTATTTTAGATTGAAGAGATTTCGATTTTGTAATGGGTTAGGTTTCCTTGAGCTTTGGTGCTTGTTAGGAGTGTCAAATGGATAGAGCTGAGCAGCTTGAGTCACCGACTTTTGACTTTGCTCGGCTCACTTCACCAACTCATCCTTGATAGGGCAAGTCTCGTCAACTCGCAAGCCACTAGTAGTTCAATTTTTTAACTTAAAATTGCACATTACTCTCCAGAATATAATAAATACCTAATTTTATAAAGACATTGTAAATGTAAAAAATTCAATTTTTAAGTTGTAAGGACCTTTTTCCTTTATTCAGGGTTTGGATCAACTATAATACGTAAGCATAAGATATTATATGTATGATATTTCTTGTATAATTTTTAAAATAATTTAATAATGAACAAAGAAACGAAATATAGTCACAAGACTACATTAGTAGTCTTCAATTTGTAAATCAGAAAAGATGACAAAAGGTCACATTCATCTTCTTGAAGCTACTTAAGCATTCAAACATTTACTTCTATTTAGATTGTAATATTAGTTATGTCATATGATGTATCTCGAACTAATATACAATTCCCCATAAAAAGACCTTATGTTTATAAGTACTCATAAAGCTACGGGTGCTCTGAGTCACGGGCTATGCTAGACAATATAGATATTGATACTGCTTCTCATTATACCCTTGAAGTAAACTAAAAAAGTTGGTCACTACAAATGTCTCTCGTCCCATTAAAGTGCTACAACCATATGAGTTTTATACATTTCGAACTTAGAAAAAGTTAAATCTATATAATTTGAATCGAAGTACGAATTACACAATTCTATAATTCTTTCTCGTAGTGAGAATATATTTGCTTCAAAGGCAAAATTCCAATTATGTTTAATTAACTGAAAGTGATGCTTGGCCAAACGTAATTTGAGATAGGGATTTGACAATACAAGTAGGAAAAAATTATTTGGTATAGGCCAAAAAATACTTTTGAAATTGTTTCCCATCGCGACACATACTTGGAACAATAGAGAATCTTCACCATTGAATTGAAATTGGAGAAACATGATTGCATTGCATTGAAGACGTAAATGTTTCAAATTATAAAATAAAATGTATATATTCCACTCATCACACGTCATAACTACTTATGTGTAATGGCACATCCAGCTATTTACCTCCCTCACAAAGCTCTAAAGGCGGGGCGGTGGAGACCCTTAAAGTTGAGATTCAACCTTTTTTTTTTTTTTTTTTACTTATGTGTAATGGATGACCAAAAAAAAAAAAAAAGGTTATTATATTATTTCTATAACGAATCAAAGTTCCAAGACTAATATGTATGGTTCAAAATCTATGAAAAATGAAATTGAATTCATCAATACTATTTTGAAGAATACGAGGAAATTACAGTGAAAGGACCTCATATTTTCGATTTTGCACTCTCCAATTTACTTGAAGGACCTTCCAATTCATGAGCATTAGATTGTATCATTGACGGTAAAGGTTTAACATGAAGATTATTTTGAAACGCTCTATCAGAACGAAAAGAATAAATTAACTGTTGCAAACGTCGTAAAATATCATTCAAGTACTTTATTAATCAAATTCAGATCTTGTAAAGAATGCGTAATGATTTATGCAACATGACAATTAGGTTCATTTATAACGCTACCAAGTACATGAACTGACCGTCGTCAATAAAATACATAGCATTGAAGGCTAATACTACCTTGATAATTTATGAAGAATAGTTTTGATTCTTCTTTCATGTTATTGATGTTGGAAGACTACTGACTTTCTCATCTGATCTTTGAAAGTTTGACAATAAACTAAGCTTCCGTTTGGCCCCCATTAATTTAAATTTCATTATATTTCATTTTTCTTTTTCCTATTTTCAATCA